GCATTACGAATATTCTTACCACACTCGTAACACTGTGCTGACGTGTCGTCTTCTATTTGCATTTTCTTACCACAACAAATATACTTATTTGGTTTAGTGGGTTTAAACTTGGGTTTCAAGCACTTTACACACAAGTCGTAAATAAACTCTTTACATTCGTGCATCGTATATAAGAMAAATATGTTAACAMAGCAGCAATAAGGAAATCACCGCGCAACATGACGGGACACGTGTCATTCCCGCGGGGGACAGATAGCACTTGGGCAGGGTAATACCCGGCGCTCCCGGTAGGCTCTCCGCGAGTCCCCCTTACTGCTGCTCTACCCTACCTTACCCCACCCTACCCTACCCTACCCCACCCTACCCTACCCTACCCTACCCTACCTACTAAGCAACCTACCTACATACGTAAATACCTACGTACCTACCTAGCTACCTATTCATTTCTTACTTGATTCTAGTGTCTTAATATCAATCTTAATCCGATTTGAATCCGTTAACATGTCTTGGCCTGACTTTCATCAGTCCAGAGGTTGTATCGATAAATTTTGAAGGTTCTTTAATCGAGCGGGATGATTGAGTTGGAGTTTCAACTAAGGCAGCGCAATTTTGTCAATGCTCACTATAATATTGTTTTCAATTCATGCCAGTATTTAGTGATTGACTTACAGCCTGCGACAAACGAATGGAAAATAAAATAGGAAATTCCTTTCTTGAATTTACCCACCCAGAATCCTTTGTTTCCGTGGCGGCGGAGACCATAAGGAATGCAGGCTCGGGAACGAATATGAGTCAGGTTTGTGTGCTTTCAGTCACGCATGCTCATGGGATGACGTTTAACCGGTTTAACAGGTGTGGTGGCCAAGATAAACAGCACGTCGCATCTGAGACTTGTGGCCGCCAGAACCTTGTAGATAAGCTAAGCTTCTTCGTGGGGGACATTACCTCTAGGAAAGGTATTACCATGGGGTTGCTCTACGGGGAGCAGGGGAAAATCAGGTTGAATCGATTCTAAAAAAGAAAAGAAACAAGAAAAATAGAGAGGAGGAAAGAGGGGGAGTCGGAGGAGTATATAGGGACAAGAAAGGATGAATCAAGAAAACGAAGAATGGAAACAAGGAGAAGCAAAAAAGATCTTCAAACAACTCAGAAATATGTTTTCCACACTGCACTCAAATAAATATTATGATCAATAATGCATTTTTTTTTTTCACTTGCCACTTTAACCCACTAATACCCTTAAACTTTCTATAGAAAGGTTTTTTCTTGGTACCATAGTTAACGTGCCCTCAGTAATGAATCTGACTGTAATAACCTAGCCAAACCCGATACTTAACACACGTATATCTACGCACTGATGACAATCGAGTGTTAAACCTATGAACAAAGCTGAAGTAGAGAATTAATCCCGGCGTTCGTTGTTCGATCGTTGATGAAATCACCCACTAAGGCTTGCTTCGCTGCGGTCAGCCATGAAAAATAAACGTTAACATTCTTAATTCCGAAATAAATATTCATAAATGTCATGTCGTATATTTGATTATTTACTTAGCAGAAACTTGCAGTTATACACTTTTTTCTTTATACTTATCGAAGAATAGAGCGAGTGAATWTTATGGCGTTATCCACTTTTTCGTCTTGGAAACAGATGGAATCAATTTAATCGCTTTCTGATTGGCTAAAAAGGTTTCTTTATCGAGGGATCATATAATTCTTGATCTTGTAATCGTATGGTGTCCGCGAAATGTTCGTTTTATGCTGCAAGCCCCGTAAAAGGTTTGAGGGCTGGACTATATTGAAGAAATAATTACAATGCGTAAACTGATATACACTTTCACAATTATTTTATTGGAGTTGTTGCTGTTTTAGACTTTAGCTTGATCTAAGCGCGCCTAGAGACATTAAAAAACTTGTATATTCGCATTTCCAACTAAGGTTATCTCAAAGGAATAACCTGTTAGTGTATAGAAGTCAATGTAACACTGAAAACATTCTTTATTCGCACGCGAAGGACAAAAATTTTTTTGAGGTTTTAAAAAGACTCGCTTTGAAAAACAGAGACGATTTGAGCAGTCCTTATCTGAGACAAATGTCTGTAGTGTTTTTTAACTATATATAAAAAACGTTTTGCATGTATTTGTGAAATAAAAGCTCTTTAGTAAGAATAGATTAGGCTAACGACCATTATGTTTTATAGATTTTTATAAAAAGTGATGAATAGGTATCAAGCACTGATGGAAATGTAACTACGAGTGACAAGATTTGCTGGCATTATCTACGACATAGGTTAATAGTTCCAAGTAAAGTCAACAATTTAAGCATTGAAACAAAAAAATGATTTCACCGTTCAGTTAATTATCGAAAACCATTCTTTTCAAAAAAGCCATGTCACATGAGAAAACAAAACGCAATGAAAAAATTATGGATTCTGTGAAAGCTATTAAAGTAGTAGCCAAGACTTTATATCTTAACATTGGATTCACATAATAATTAATTAACACGTAGAAAAAGGCTTGACGATCAACAAAAATGATAGCAAAAGCCATTTGATTGCACGACCCGCGCGGACGCTTCTACATAAAATTTAAAAATTTAAAAACCCGAGAGTGAAAAATTCAAGGCTTGTAACTAATAACATACACTCCAGAAAAACGTTGTTCGGCGATTTGAYCAAGAAGGTTTTAATCAAATTTACAATTTAAATTTAAGCAATTACGAGAAAGGTAATATTCTGGTATATATATACGAACCGGGAAGGAACTGAGCGTATGATTGAAAAACGCCGATTTTTTAAATTTCTATTGAAAATTCACGAAAGCTAAGGACCTAGAAATTTCTGATGGACTTCGTAATTATGTTCTAAGGGATGATAGAGTTTTTGAATAGTTTTTTTTTCTGGTTTGGTGATAAAATGCACCAACCACCCGCTGTTAATTCATTACCCTTTTGATTGGGCGTTCTTTTTTAAAAAGCCCTTTGACAAGCTCACACAAACAAGTGCAAAATGTGTAAACCATCTTAGGTTTTTGATCGCGTTTTTCACTGGGAAGAAATTCAGGTTTTGAGGTCAAACTTTTTTGGGGTATTTTTTTGTTTGTATTATTGAATTATTGAATGAAAAAGATTAGGAAAATGGAAAAAGAACTTAGGAAAGTAGCTCAAGGTGGTTCTAAATAGTGACTGTGTGTTTTGTTTATTAATAGTTTCGTCACATTAACAGGACGATTAATACTCCCTTCATTTAAGACCTACGAGTTAATTTATGTTTCTTAGAAAAAAATTATCGAAAAGCGATTTTGTTTTCGTTATGACTGCTCATCAAACTAGACCACTTCTAAAGTTCATGGATTTTACTCCTACAAACTTGAGAAAATGGTGTATTTAGTTTATTTACTGAACGTTTTTCGGACGATATAAGTCATCTTAGCGAATATCGAATCAATTTTACTAACTGGCGAGTGGTTTTCAAAACACTGTGGTTAGATAAAGACTGCTAATGGTTGTATTAATTTATATGAATGAATGGGTTTATTTAGATCTTTCCGTCTGCTAGTCGAGTCTAAAAGTAAGAACTATTAAACAACAAGGAAAACCGATTTCTTAATAAGCGAGCAGCTCTTTGTTCTAGTCGTATAAYTGACTTTGTCATTTCTGCAGGGGAACTCAAAAGGCGACCAAACTTTAAACAAAACGAAGTTCTACAAAAGAGATCATTGACCATCCCATACACGTCTTAAAAATCAAACATAACTATTTGATTAATTTTTTTTCTCGATCAAGAATCTCAGTTTTTTTATCAAATTTTCTGAGGTTGACTTTGCGAGTTAGTCAGAATAAATCATTGACACAGATGAGGGAAATTTTGCTTTACTTCTTTGACTTCAAGAACGACAGAATTCATATAATTGACGAATGGCTATTACTGTTATGGTATACAACAATTTGAAGATATTATATAAGAGTTCAAGGAATAAAACACGTATTCAAATAGATCATTTTAATTTCTACACAGTAAGCTTGAAATTCGTTTTTTGCGAGTGATTTTGAGTCTAGTCGAATACTCCCCAACCTTTATGCGAAAGCTATATTTGAACTTTGAATGGAGATTTACAGTGAATTGTCGACTGTTTGTGTGTGGCCAATCGTTAACAAAGACTTCATTGGGTTCTTCAATTAAACTTCATCTAATTGTCTCGTTTTAATTAGTTTTCTTCTTGTCTTTCTCTTTTGGTAATTCACTTTGGTTACTATAAATCACATTTTACAATAAAATCATATAATAGAGAGTTGGTATTTTTTGGCACTGTAAGTCAGTGCTGTTATTTTGCCTTACAAAATGTTTTCACGAAAACCTTTAATTCGACTGTTCTTCTTGTTATCATTCTGTCCCAAAAAACACAAGTACTTTACAAAGGAATCAAATCAGCAAATGTCAAGAAAAAATATATAGGCAATACATACATATGTACAGTTCTCTAGAATAATAATCAAAAGAATAAGATTGCGAGTAAGTTTGATGATCGCGAGTCATGAAGATATAGCTCCAGATCAAATCGGTGCCAGAGTCGCTTGATTTGAAGGTTGATGATCTCGTTGGTTGACGTCGTTGTCTGGCTTATTGTTACTTGGCAGAACCTTCAAAAGAAAGAAAAATGTATAGCTATCATATTCTTGGTAATAAAATAACTTAACCACATACACAAACCTCCACCGCCCCCAATTTGACTAAACGCTTCCTATAAACACACCTAATCCACACCTGATATATGCTGAATGATGGCCCGTGGAAAATTATTAAACCGTTTGAACATTTCCCTGCTAAGTTCTTACAATTTTGCACTTTAATTGCTTTTCTTGTAAGGATATGAAAGAAAGATTTCAAGGTTCTGAATTAATGATGAGTTTACACTGATAAGCCAGATCATTATTATTATTATCATGTCAAAGACACTTTCTTCACKTTTTGTATAAATAAACCAGCTTTTTATTGCGTCTTTTTTTAGTGATTTACTTTTCAAAAATCCCAGAAAAAAATTTAATTGTATATATATTTTTTGACAAGAGTATTTAGAAAAGTAAAAATAGACTAATTTGAAGAATAAAATCAAGATTATATTTATCGATAATTCATAATGGCAAGGCGAACGAAGGTTTGAAAAGAACTCGATAATAATAAAGTAAAAATTAGCAGTTTAAGCACTTGCCCTTTCCTCCCCCATTTTTTTAAAGTTCACATCTGAGAGCTTTGTTAATCGAAAGATGCCATGGTAAGGAATTGTAAAAGATAAATCATTCCATCTGTCGAAAACAACTACAGACGTGCAAACCACGACCGCGTTTGCATCAAAAAAAAAAAAATAAATAAATAAACGACCCTTTATTTCTATATAACAACTGCTTACAGTGTTTTCATATTTTGGCATTGCTTCAGGGGTATTGAAAAATTGACTTTGTAAATCCTTATTAAAACTAGCGTGTTTAAAATAATAAACCTTTTTAAGATAAACAATCAAGTTAGACGAAGAGATCATGACTAAGTGCGTAGGTGTAAATGTTCAAAAATCCAGCCTCGGTCATGCCGGGTTTTTCCCCCCCATAAATTCTAATCTACAAAATAAAAGTTTAAGTTTAAACTCTATTCTATTCGGATTTTTAAAGGCATTTTAAAATGAACAATTTTTGTAAATTGTGAGCTGAAAACGAGCGCCCTGATGGCAATCTATTTAAGTTTTCCATGCATATGCACTCGAAAACTTTTCTGTAAAGCTTTTCATTTTTGAAATAAAGGTAGTGGCTGTTGGGAGATATTTGCGATCAAAAGACGATTTAATTTCATTAATTTTCACGAAAAACGCCCGAATGACGTTAAATATCTATCGGATCCTGGCTATTTACAAAGGAATTTTTAAGTCGTATTTATCTGAATAGTTCCGTCTTCGTAGGAAACGCGATCTTTTGATTCAGATAAATGTATCTGTATAGAAAGGAAGAGGGCGATCGAGAGGAAGCAGCTTGAATCGACACATTCTTACCAAACTCTACGAATCACCATGTTGGACTTTTGTGAAGCTAATAATCGCTATCAGAACAGGATGTGCAGCTCAAATCCACGCAAGACTTGAATTTTAAAATCACAGATCATTCATGTCTAGCTAGACCACAAGACAGCGAGAAAAGGCTTAATATCACAACTATTTCTTTCATCACCAGAATCTATTCACTGCAGCAGCACCACTTCTATTGTCGCTGCTTGTTTTTAAAATTTTTTTTTATTCATTAAGTAAATCAGTTCAGATTTTTTTGGATAATTTTCCTAAGTAATCAATGTAAGAAAGGATGGATGTTTTGAAAATATATGAACATAATACAAAACCACAAATTTTTTTCTGGCTTCCCCTATAAGCACAGGTGGAAACGGACGACGCTTCCAGTCACATAACGCTGAAGCTTCAACCAACCTCATGAAGTTTAAAGAAAGTTTAGAGCTAAAACTTGGTTTCCTTGATGAAAGGAAGTCCACAAACACAAAATTTCTACAGAATTACCTGGTGTACATTGTTTCTGGTAGCATCGATTGAGGGGACATTAGATTACATATGGGATTCCGAGCTAACCGCAGAATCTTTATAGAAATATATCTGCAACTCTGATCGAAAATTTGAAAGATGAAACGCAATCATTACTCTTTGGGAACTGTTTAACTTGTCGCTTTTCAATAAAATGTCTGCGAACTTAACTAGTGAGTTTTTCGTAGTGGTATTGAGAAACTGTGTTGGAAGGTGCGAATAAAGCCTAGCTTGTTTGAATAAGTAGGATCATACATTTGTTTTAGAAATACCGTTAGGAAAATAAGGGAAACAGTCCTTACCTTGGTGTTAAAAAGGTGTCTGATTAACTGCTGTTGACGTAGAAGGGATCATCATTGGTGCGGAAGATGCGAGAGCTTGACAAACAATCGGGTTTTGCTGCATTTGGGCTGAGCTYCCATCGTTTAGTACCTCCGTTAGTGCCTTAATGTAGTTTATAGCAAGTCTTAGAGTTGTTATCTTTGCCATATGCCCGTCTGCAATGTAACAAGGTAATGCATCGCGAAGTGCCTGAAAAGCGCTGTTTAGTACGCGCATTCTCTCTCTTTCCCGTGCGTTGACCAGAAGCCGTTTCTTCAGCGAGTTTCGCGGGCGTTTCTGTTTCACAAGGGTGTTGAGTTCATCGTCGGCCTGAAGTGAGTTTGGTCCAATGTGGCCAGATCTTGGTCGCAGGTTATAAATCCCTTTGGAAAAGTCAACGTCGACCTGATTTCGTGCTATGTGCCCATCTGGTAAGCAAGGCTGGGAGTTATGCATCATTAGGTTATCACCAAAATACGGTGCACCAGTTTGATGATGGTGTGTCAAGGTGTTGTTCATCATCATCTTTCCAAACAACTAGTTTGCTCACTGGCAAGCTTTGCTACTCTGTATTTTGGAACTCGTTTCTTGAGCTTTATATTGGAGTTGTGTGGCCTTCTAGGACACCTGAGCGATGGACACGCTGTACACCTGTGACTTCCAGCTTTCTAGAGTCTAAAACTGGCAATTTTTGTCTTCCTGGAGTTAATAAAGAGATCTTCCACTTCAGGCTAAATGACATGCGCGACATGACTCAATAATAATTTATTCGCTAACTATTGTTCGTTGGGAACCACTAAATTGACCCATCAAAGATTCCTAGTTACGACTCCAGCTCTTTATTATCAAAGTGTTATTCCAAATCCCTGTTATTATTGCATTAATATTCTTTAGCTTGTATATATGTCATGGATTATTTGCCTTGTCATATATATGGAAACCTATATCATCTAATTCCAGATTGGGGTTATAACAAGGTGTTTATTTGGGCGAGGYCAATCCAAACCGTTTTCGGATAGTCTTCTTCTTTGGTATGAGAATATCTATGTTTTTGTTCAATTGGTTGCTAAAGGAAGTACTCTAGAAGATTGGTCTATTGAGACAAATTTGTTCTGTTTCGCTCCTTTGAAGTCTTATGGTTTATTTGATGTTTTCATGGGTTATTGGGTTCCAAAGTGACCATCTGATGCCAATCGACAGGTATCAGTTTACAGCGAACCTACGTTATGACAATAACTCCATCCTTGGTAATGTCGGCTAATGTATGCAGTCCTGCTTGGCCAAAACATATATTTTCGAGGTTTAATGATTGATTATTGATGCCAGAAGTGACATCATTCAAAGCCTTGGAATCAACAAGACATTTGATCGAAGGCACAGCCAGCCCTGCAGCAAATTGTCCCTGCAAGTGTCTTAAGCGGTGATTTTCTCAAAGTTAAATAAAGTGGAACTACACCTGGGCATCTAGGAGAGCAGAAACCTTCATTGTCGACTGTAATTTTATGCAAAAAATATTTTCCCCCTGCAATTAGGTCGTTGAGGTTTGATTCAGTTTTGTTGTTGCCTTTGCCCACTCAGTGGCAGTGCCACTGTGTCTCAAGGACAAACTTCACAATAACTACCAACACAAACATCTTAAAACCTTCTCCAAATGAATGTTTTGCGATCTCCATATTAAAACCAGTGTGCTGTTTTTTAGTCACTTATGAATAGAACACATTGGATACGATGTTAGCGGTTAGTATGTTTGAAAGCCCTTCTTCTACCATGTGGGCTGGGATGTTATGGTCTTCTTCCACGCTCCATGGGTGACAACTATCACAGTCTCTCAATCCACGACACTTTCGCCTGATTCATTGACTTGCTTTGAAGAAAACAACAAATTTAACGTTTTTCATAAAGTCTCCTAATTAAAAACTGAACACACGCTTTCCTTGATCTGCTGCAGCTTCTCTAAAGGGGCGTAGGCCATATTTCATAGGCTGGAAAGTACTATTAGATAGGACCCGATGTAGTTAGATAGCTAGACGGATGAGATAGCATCGCAAGCATTTCTTTAATAGCCTTAATATATGTTTTGCATACATAAAGTAAAATACACAAACCTCCAGTTTTTGAATGACAAACATATATCTCTCTTGAAGCCAATGATTTAGATTGTCTGAGGGGTGGGTTTGAACGCGTTGAACGAACTGTACGTCCTCGCGGTTTATGGCTGTAAGCACCAATGGCAAACGGCCCATTGCCACTTAATAAGAAACTATATCAGTAGTTTCTTCCACGCTCAACTCAAAACCAACATCTTTTTAATTGTTTTAAAAACTAATTGTTCGGCTGAAAAAAAAAATTGTTTGAAGAAAGTCATAGAAAATCCCCATTAAAGTACTTCAATTTTCATGGCGGGGAGAATGAATCCTCAATAGAAATTCTTTTCTTTTCGCAAGAGTATGAGCCGGTACATGAAATACTTCTTAAAACAGAATTTCTTTGGAACTTTTTCAACCCCAGTTAGTTAAATAACCCACGTAAAACTAAAGCTAATGTTATTTTAATATTGCGTATCTCGTTTTGGTCCGGCTTTGATGAGAGGGTGTGAGTTTTGACGATGACATCGAGTGTGGGGATGACAGGGACTTTCCTATAGTCTTGAAGGGGAAATGAAGAACGTCTTTTTAAAAAATAAAAATAAGGGTGAAAGCGTTTTCGGTCATTTTCACGATATAAAAGACAAAACGCGAAAAAGATGACAAGTAGAAAAAGAGAAAATCTCCCGCTATGACTGCGATGTAATCAATTCCTGCTAGCTCTAAAGGCTCAAGTGCTAAAATGGATGTAGGGATTGAAGCCCATTTATTATCGTTCGCACGACAACTTTCCCATCGAATTCCGAAAAGCTGGTAATAGACTCGCAGCCAAATTAAAAGTTACTTTGTAAATATTAACTTCGCTAAATATATCAATAATTAGGATTCGTCATTGATATGATAGCAGTCGCCGAGCACTTATAAAGAAGGCTATTGGCTGCTAACCTTGGTCAGATCGAAAGCCTCAGTGACACTTCTGATATCAAGAGTCTGTCAGATTAGACGATAGATCATAAGGCTGGACATGAACGTTCCCGCTCATCGCGGCGACAAAACGTCAACAGGAATTAAAAACGACGCTATAATTCCAATAAACCTCTTTGGATTAAACAATTCTTTGATAATTCATTTTTTTTCTGTTTATCGTACCATTTTTCTCAAATAAAAGATATTACACAGGCCATAATCTAAGACCTTTAGAAGTCGTGGTATGGGGGAAGACGACAGTGGCGATGAGGTCAGTGTTAATGGACTCCGAGCGGGACTAAAGGGCGATGCGGTTAGAGCAATTTCGTTAATTTTAAAAGTGTAGTTGGATCGGAAAGACAATACGCAAAAGCTGACGGATAATAGAATGTTTTTGGGGCGTCACTCTTAAGTGATGTTGAAGTTTACCTTTACAATAACAGACAACAATACGTAAGATATAGTCACTGTGTTGAGAGCGAAATAATATAAATAAAATTATTTAATTTTAAAAAGCTTACACCCTGATTCTATAGTTAAAATTACACTTAGACGTCATAAATGGAAACTCCTCAGGAGGTCGACAAATTGTGAAGGCAGAGTCGTCTCTTTTGCCTCTTTCGGTCGGCCTTCTTTCATGGCGGCAACCCTTTTGAAGTCCCACGGCTTATTGATCAATTACTCCTGCTCTTCCAAAGTTGTGTTTTACTTATAGTACAATGCGTGCCTCATATCTCATCCACTTTGGCCTGCGTATCATGCTTTTGGTTGTAAATTAACACCAGCGTAGTATTCAGTTTTGATGTAAAACTTAGTACATTATCCTCGTCACATGAAATGAATTGAATTATCCCCGGAAAGTCAAAACGTCGCCAAATTGGCAAAGAGACGACAGAATTTAAGCTTGAATGAAGATGCTATCACTTTAGCAAGGCCCACACAACACACACATCAACTTGATGTCTACAGGTATATACATCGGGTTTTGATTATTCATCATTTTGTCTCGACAAATGATTCAGGTTTTTGTAAAACAAAGAGCGGTTCAACTGGTTTAACACCTAAGCTTTTGTGTTGAGCATCGCTCATAAACTGTCAACTATTGTTCTATTTCATTAACCCTTATGCTCCCAAAACTATTAAATAATCTTTATTTTTTTGTAAAAGAGTGTTGAAGTCTTTAAGGAGTTCTTAAATCCCTTTACACCTTTTTTTGCCAAACAAACAGGATATTTTACAAGTACGTACACGGAAGCAAAATGCCGCTGACCAACGCCAGATGGCGACAGTATGTCACGTGTTACACGTGCGAAACAAACAGGATTTCCTAATAAGGATTTTTTGAACGATTGTCTGAGAGTCTAAACTTGTGGCAAAAGGTTTTAGTTTCATATGTGAATGGACACCTCTCAAGAYTACTTTTGGGATGCAAGGCTAACATAAAAGTACGCAAGATAATTCCATAAATCCCATTGAAAAAAGTGTGATTTTGTTCACACTTCCACGAGTAGATACTAAGATAACTTGCCATCCAAGATACAGTAATTTTGAGATGATGGGGCCAAGTTATTTTCGCCGATTCTTGACTCGCTTGTTTGTTTGTTTTCGTTTTTCTTTCTTTCGACTACATTACTATTGGATTTAAGCTATTTTTTTAATCTATGTAAAACATTGGCAGAAAAGCATTGACATTTACATCTTGAACTTAACTCCTTGACCACCACCATCAACCTTACTTGGAAACAAATGAATACCATCAGTCAAAACAAAAAGAGGAAGAAAAAACAACGTACACTGATAAATAAACAAGAACTATCAAGAGAAATTTAAATGAAATATAAAAAAGTTCACTGAAACAAATTAAATTACTTTGGTTTTTCTTGAACAAGCTGCAAACAGATGGCCCTGGATGGCTATTAGTACTTCGTGACCTTCATGTAGGCAGCATTTAATCCCGGAAAGGCTCATGTATCTTACAACAAAAACCTCACACTCCCCTCCCTCCCCAAAAACATATATACATTCTGCCAATGGGAAGAGTGGATGGGGTTCAGCAGGAACTGATGATGATGATGAACTTTATTTATTCTCGCTAACATATTCAACTAGTGATGATTTCCAATATGGGCGTGTAAAAAATAATTACATWAATTTACAATAAAAACGTGCTTAAGTACAATAAATCAGTAGTAATCAAATAAGTAAATAAATAAGTAAATAATTACATAATAATGAAAATGATTTTTAAAAAATCCCTACTTAAAAATGATGATATCATATGCCGAGGGATAATAGTAATAGGAACTCCCTTGTAAGTTTCTGGGTTGAGAAGGACCCTACGTACGTCACTGATATTTTGTTCTGCCCCTATTACGAGCGGTGCCGGTGATATTTCGGGTTGTTGGTCTGAATCGCCAAGGAAAATGCGAAAACTAACGGAAGTTAACCGTTACCTCTTTCATATCTTTCATATCACAAAAAAAATATTCTTTTGTTTTTCTACTACCTGGATTTTTTTGCGATTCCTTTTCAGTTACATAAAATAATTTTTCACTGATCAACAGACGTTACACGTTTGCCGTGAACGTCAATCTAAAACTCTCTATTGTGTTCAAGATTACTTCACAGTGATGCTTACTTTAGTTAAAATGAAAAAAAGACAACAACAACAACAACAACAACAACAACCAAGAAAACAAAAAAACAAAACAATAAAAACTCGCGCGTTTTGTAGAAGAAAATGTGACGTCACACGCAAATCATTTCACTTAGACATGGTATCCCTGTGTTATTGAAGGTAGCGAACCATTGGGTCTAGTCAGCACATGGCGGGAGGATTGACATTCAAGATGGCGGACCAAGTCAAGTCTGTTCGCGAAGTTACCGTCTTTTCTGACAATCCTCGGCCAAGAACCCTTGATTTTACCATCGGTGCTTCAGCTCCCACCACAATACGAGACGAAGAGACTCTAAAATTTAACATTGGTGGAGGTTATGGGTATAAAGATAGTTCTAGAGCGTATTCTTCGACAAGTAACCGTTTTATATACTGGTGGGTAAACTTACACTGTGTAGCCATTAGTTTTTATTTTTTATTTGGTCGGCGGACTTTAAAGGGAACTCCTCCATAAAGCTTGCATGGTTGAACACCAATTTCTCTGAATTAAATAAAAGTTTTATTATGCTTTGTCATGGTATAAGCACTCCATGATAAAAGTCTAGATTCTAATTTTCTAGGTCTAGTCTTGTAATATTCTCATATTTTTTGCATTAAAATGCCAGCGAGAGAATGATCTAGGTCGTTGTAAAAAACGCCAAGTTATTTTAATACAAATTTTAGTTTGTTCGTACGTTGGCATGATATAAAACGCAATGCTGATCAATAATAACGCACCCATCAGATGTAAAGAAAGCTTGGCAAAACTTTTCCATTTGACCATGCTTATATTGCTGTAGATTCTGATTGGAAGAATACCAAAACGGYATCAGAAATATTGTTCACTACCTTTCTTCATGCAGTTCTTGGTGTGCAACCACTCAAATTCCCCTGAGATATAAATTCTGTAACGATGAAACAGCTGCAATGTTTGTTGATCTAACAAGAGAAGCTAATGCATTGTTATCATCAACCAACAATGCATTGTTATCATCAACAAACATGGCAGCTTTGATGCAACATGCACTCGAAGAATATAAACCCCTTACGGCAATTCTCAGAGCAGCTCAACTTGGATGGCAAATTTATAGATTTTCAATTAAATTCTAAAGAGATTAAATTTTGTTGCCTTGTCCTCAAAATTAAGCTGCATTGGGAGTGCTGCAAGGGCCTATGTTTTGACACTTTTTTATCTTTCAACAACTGCAGAGGAGTAGGCTTAGTTAGTACCCCTAAATATGATGCCACGTTAGAAGTGGGATAAGTTAGTACCCCTGAATATGACACCACTGTGGAAGTAGGCTAAGATAGTACTCCAGATTACATYATCTGCAGTCTTATCAACTCCGACTCTCCCTAGGGTTAAGAATAACGGTTGCTCAATGGCTAGACATGATGACTGACCACATCAGACTGATCAATACAGGGTTTGTGCTRCTCCTTAAACTCCTTGAAAACTCCTTGAATTTAATTCATGTTTTCAAGCGCACTTGAAAAGCTCTTGAAGTTTACGATTTTAGTGAAACTCCTTGAAAACTCCTTGAATTTTTGCTTTGATCATTACTTACATGGTTTTGAAATAGATCTAGTCAGAAAGATTGGAAAATCTGGAAGTCAGCCATGAGTAACCACTGTATAAAACCTTGGCAATTTAGCTGAACATACTCCTTGAAAATTCATTTTTGGGTCACGTATACTCCTTGAATAGTCCTTGAATTTTAATGGTTACCTCAGCACGAACCCTGTCAATATGTGACCAGTAAAAAGAACAGGCCTATGAGGCCATTTGGTTGGATATTGTCCTTTAAATGGCCATTAGTTTTAGCCATTTCCAACACCAAATTCAGTCTGTCCACCAAATCAAAATTCTTCTCTGTGATACTTGTCTGTGTGTATTATAGTTCATGCCTGTATAGTACAACCTCTTAAGCAGATTTTTTTTCCCAAAGGAAAATCAATGAAAATATACTGGAACTTTTGGAGGAATCCCTTGATGTAAACCTCTTTGGAAATAACTTGAAGATAAGATTCACTGATGGAATGCTTCTACCTGGACTTTCCATCTTCGAGACACCAACTAATGTCTGTGTTCTGGTAGCCACCACCAACAGTGTGCACAGAATTGCTTTTCCTCACCCTCATAAATCACACAGTCATGTAAGTTTATAAATATTACTACGAATACTTAGCAATAGACCTCTTAACCTTCATTGTTTGTTGTCCCATTTCAGATCATGTGATTACAATTTTGGGAGTTGATTTTTTCATTTTGAAATGTACATTATAAAAAAACAATTCTCAGGGGAATGTCATGTGGTCTGAAATGGGCAATTTGCATATGAAGGTAAAGAGGTCTATAAGAGATCAATAGGGATTCTAGGGTGACATAGCAGTAGTGCACTTGCAGTAGTGCACCGCCGAGGTCTTGATAGATAGATAACTTTATTAGTCATATCATTGCAGCCTCCGTGTTGGCTGAATTGTCATATACTTTACAATTAAAAACAAATATTAAACATATAGAAACATCAATGAAGGAAAAGGAGATATAGAAAAAAAAGAAAAAAACCTAACAAATAATATTTGTTAAAGGGGAATTTAGCAAACATCCTCTAAAATTACGTTAGTCATCTAAAAACTTACTAATATGAGGAATAAAATATATATTAAAGGTAAAAAGRGGAATCTAAAGCCTACTGCTGGTTAAAACTATGTTTCATTATAAAAAGTATTCATAAACCTATTAGTCTTATAGACTGGTAATTTAAAATATCTTTGGCAGCGTGTGTGGTAGGATGATTCRTTGCATGGCAGTAATTTTCTTTCCTCCACGAAACCCAACTGCTAAAATACAATTCAATCTATGAGTTAGCCAGCTCAAAGGTTGTTTCAGGGTGCAAAAATATTTGAAGCAATGATAACAGTGTTTTTTTTTTCTATCATTCTAAAGGCATTTGGACTCTCTTCTTCATCTGATCAAAACCTGTCTTCAATATTCAACACAAGCTCTGTGACTGAGCTAAGAGAACCATGGAACTTTGCGACATTTTCATCAAATTGTATCTCATCTTCTGCTTGGCTTTGTCAAGATGGTCACACCCTTTTTGCTTTAGCCACCTCTATTGGCAGTATCCTATTGGTCAAGTTACCACCTGTAGGAGTTCATGGTAATCTATTATTTTATTAGTATACTTTTATTAGTATCTATCACCCTTAAGGGCTATTGAAATTAGTCCAAACCTACTTAGCTACTGGTGGTCAAACAATGATAGACCACAGTTTTGAAATCTAAAGCAATGCAAAAATAGATTATTTCAACCTAATTTCAACATTGTTTGTATTTATTTTTTGACCTATTACTGCAATTTTCATAAACAAGCAAACTTCGTGTCTGTGGACTGCACGCAGAAATTTGTTTTTTGCTACTATCAATCAGGGTTAAGCTTCACAAATTTGCAACGTCCCCTGTGATTGTTTAGGTTTAGGGGCGGGGTTGGGGAAAGGTCATTGTTTTCTATTGTTCTACACATGTGCCCTCCAATAGGATCACATCTTGCAAATTCATGAAGGACGACCCGTCAATCAAACCTAATCAGTCAGTACCTTTTATATTTTTGACTGGTGGCGGCAAAATACCAAATTTCAGCATGCAACTTGGAGACACAGAGTTCGCATGTTTATAAAAAAATTGCAGTAATAGGTTTATATTAAAACAATCAGACCTCTCGCCCTCATGGTCTACAAGTCAATAGCCCATTTGGCCTTTCGCTGAATGGCTTGGCCCATTCTGACATCTGGGTTTACTTGTAACTGTTGCAAGACTAGCACCTCATCTTAAGCCATTTAGAATTCACAATTTTTAAGTAACCTATAAACATAAGAATGGCAAGTCATTGGACAATGTCTGACCAGAATTGGAACCTTACCACCCATTTTGACCAGTAACATTGAGCCAGTATAGGTATAAGCAAGCTAAATCTACTTTGACCACTGATCATTATCTAGGTGACTAACATACTGTTATTTTACACACTGAAAAGATATAGGCAATAATGATGATTCCCACCCTCCCCCTGCAGACATAGTCACTTTTTATTAATTTATAATCAGTATCTTTTTTATATTTATCTTTAATATTACTTTGATTTTTTATTGATCAGAGGAGGCAGAGCAATTTGAACTCCAGCAGTCTAGTATGATACAAAGACTTTGGTCTGGTCTTGTTCCTTCAAGCTTGAGAGGAGATTCCCCATTTCCTGATGGGGTAGTAGATCTTCAAATCCAGCCATTAGGAAAACAGATGTGTATTTTTACTCTTTGTCGTGACCATAAACTGAGAATATGGTCATGTCAGGTGAGACAGGGCTGTAGATTTTTTTTCATACATGGGAAGCTTAGGCTTTTTTCAGATAACACTCTTCTCATGTACCAAACTCAATTGATGAATTAATTTGCCAAAAGAGCAGTGCAGAATCAACTCAGTATGACAGTTAAATATTGGCAGTGCTTGATGTGCTGAACGTAATACAATAATTTATTATGAAATGGGAAGCAGAGGTAGAGTAGCTGTAAGAATGCTTGCCTAGCTCACTACTGCGACCACTGTTCGTTTGTCATACTCAGTGTCATTTGGAGTGGTGTTAGTTGTTCATACTCTGCCTTGCTTTAAGGGGTTTCTCTCTGGTTTTTCTGTTTTTCCCCTCCACAAGAGTCACCATTCCTAAATTCCAATTCAAACTCAGGAGATATTCTTGTTAAGGTTAACCTTGAAAATTGATTATGATAACTAGAGATCTTCCTTCTTCCACATACCTGTAAAGAATCAAATTAGAATCAGCAGGAGTACACTGTCTGAATCAGTTGTTGCTTTGGAGTCAAAGTTAAATGAATAAGTTAGTTTTGTACATGAGAGGAGTGGCATTTGGAATGAGCTCTATAGTGTCACTTACAGTGTACATACATTTTAATAACTAATCCCTGAATTTTGATATTTTTAGAAGCAAGAATGTATCTCTGTCAAGGATCTCCTTGAAGATATACCAGATGATATTGATGGCCAGACAGTAACTGGTAAATATCCTTTTGTGTGTGTGTCCCAGTTAGTTAAGTTATGTATCTTATAAAATAATGAATAAATAAAAATGAAAAAATAAAAGTTATGTATCTTATTCCATCAATCCATCTTTTCCTATGTACTTCCAGCCAGCAATCCCATCCATCCATCTATCCATCTCATCTTCCATTAATCCATTCAACTATCCATCCATCTTTTTTTCTCTAAATCCAGCTAGCCATTCCATTCCATCCTTGCATCCATCTATCCATATATCCATCTCATTTTTCATCGATCTATCCATCTATCCTTCCATCTTTTTTTCTCTAAATCCAGCTAGATATGCCATCCCACCCTTTCATCCATTTATCCATCCCATCTTCCATCAATTCATTCATTTATCTTACCATTTATTTCTCAATGCATTCAACCATACCATCCCATCCTTGCATCCATCTATCGATCTCATCTTCCATCGATCCATCTATCTTTCCATCTTTTTCTCAATACATTCAGCCATTTAATCCCATCCTTACATCGATCCATCTCATCTTTCATCAGTCCACCTATCCCTCCCTCCATCCCTCCCTCCACCCTCCTATCTCTTTCTTTTTTTCTCCATTCCTTCTGACCTTCAATCCTTTATTATTGTATACCCTGATGTCTGTCAATCAAAATCACTTGTCACTTGTGTTTCTTCTCAGCTCACAACCACATGCTAAGAATGACTGTAGATCCCACAACTGGAAGAATTTATGTTGGAGCTTTCCTTTCATTTCAATATCAAAATCAGGTAATTAAGGTTTACTCATTGATGATTGCATATTTGTATTATTGTTGCAGTCATACCTCCAGTTTGGAGACAAAATTCTCAACAATTGTGCAAATTTTTTTTTTTAATTATTGCTTTTTATAGTTTAAAAAACATAATATACTTAGTGTCTAATTTTAATTTTTCCATACAAATTAGTACCCGTATTATTATTATCAGTTTTCTCTGAATGGATCTTCATTTTACTGTAAATTCATGTGAAAGAAAATTTTGGTAACTCTGCAGCTGTCGGTTTAATAAAGGGTTTCCAGAGAAAAAGGGGTTGCTTAATAGAGGAATTACGGTACTACAGTGGCTTAAATCTACTTCTAGTAAAGTCAATGCCACAACTTGTACATGCATGATAATTGATGACGTTACTCTCAATATACAAACTGTAAATACCTGATAAATTATACTAAGTATAATAAGATGTACATGTATTGTTTTCTTAGTTTTGTGTGTATGAAGCTGTAGCTGATGATCAAAGTGTTTCTTTGTCACCTGTATCCAACCTGTACTCGGCAGTGGTATGTTGAACACCTTTATTTAACCATGGTAGCCTCTAGTTACTAGATATAACTGTTATCAATGGGAGCCTAGTATGACTTTGAAGTAATATTTCAAAGCTGACAATGAGGAGTGGAGGGGATTTCAAGTCCGGGCAATTAGTTCCAGTCTGTGCCAAGGACTGGAACTAATTGCGCAGACTTGAAATCCCATCCAGTCCGATATTGGAGGCTTTGAAATGACTTCTCATGCTCATTAATTATTGGAATTGGAGTAGCTGGAACAAAATTGATTCAGTCCTAGGACTGAATTAATTTTGTTCCAGTTACTACAGACTGAATTCAGTCCATTCACAGGACTTTACCAGGTTTCAAGTAACATCATGTGACCCAAAAACAGCCCATTGATTGGCTGGTTTACTCATGAATTATTAATGAGTATGAGAAAGTGACTAGAATGACTTGAGTAATGCTGTGATGGTGACATGTCCTAGCATCCAGACTGGATGTGCAGTCATCATGCATATTATTCTGAGGAATTCAGGGAATCAAGAGTAGCATAACATTAGTTTACTCATCTCTCACCTCTGGAGTCTTTAGTTTAATTCCTGGAGTTAGCACCAAAATGTGAGATGTAGTGCTTGTAAAGGTATTTCCCTCAAGTCAAGGATCTTTTCTGGGTTCTCTAGTTTTCTTCCCTCTGCAAATCCTACAGTAACATGCTAAATTGAAGTTTGATCAGACTTGATCAGCCCAGACCTTGTTGCAGGGCTTGACAAAAAGTGCCAATCAATCAAAAGATATTGTCATTTTTACTGAAATGTATTGTAACTTTGACCTGTTTTGTCTTTAGAGCCATTTGGTTGACCTAACACTTTCATCAGCTGAAATCTTGACTCTGTGAATTGAAAAAAATTATCATAGTAACTTTGATCTGTTTTGCATTTAGGGTCGATTGGTTGACTTTACACTTTCTTCAGCTGAAATCTGGACCCAGTGGATTAGCAATGATGGAGAATCAGTCACCTACTTTACTAGCATTGAAAAGTAAGTACCTACTTAGAGCATTTTTCATATGACTGTGAAAAAGTCGCTGCCACATGCATGCCTTGCTGCAACCATGGTGTTTTCTAGGCTTTTGATTGGGGGATTTTTTTTCGCGCAATGTGATTGGTCGGACAGTGTCGTGACATTGGTGTGACCCTGTCCACGCTGTGTTCCGTGCTGTGTTTTGGACTTTTGATTGGATGAAGAGTAAATTCTCATGCAATGTGATTGGTCTGGTGTATGCCTTGCCTTGTCATGACTGTGTTCGTGCCGTGAGCTTTTCACAGTCATACAAAAACTTCTCTTTGGTTTGCAACCATTTTGCCCACTAGTAGTTTTACCTGTAGTCATGCAGTTCAGCCACAGTTGATTCCCCTGTCTGGACTTTTTCCTGTCTGTTAAGTATTGGACCCATCATTGGAGCCTTGATTTTTACCTTTTTATTTTCTCTTGGATGGTTACTCAAAACCAGAATATCATCTTATACATTTTTTTGCACTCAAACTATTACCTCAATATCAAAAACTCAAAATGCCAAGATGTTATACTTGTTGCTACCAAAAATATTAGCTCTTAATACAGCAGAAGCCACACTGTTTTTAACCATTTATCAAGTACATATTCATTTTGTATTTTTTAGTGGACAACAAAACGACTCTGGATGGCATAAAGTACTTGGCCAATCAAGTATCAGTCTTTCTATTCTAGTACCTCCTCACATGGAACCAAGGGTGAGAATCTTTTAATCATGGAAAAATAATATAAAAATAATTACACTCATAAAAAATTATTGAATACTATGTGAAACACTGCTACTGTAAAAGAACTCTCAAACTGACATAAATRTCTTTAACCTTTGCTGGAAAAGTGACCACTTTAGATACCCTTTGATATCCTTAAAAACACCTGAAGTTTTACAGTGCTATCTACAAAGTGACGATATTATGCTCATATATATGTAGTGTTCAAAAAAATGATCAGCCAAAAATGGCACTTGTCCAGCCATAGCTAGCCCCTTTAAACCAGTCCTTTTGACTGGTCACATTGATTGGTCACGTTGATCAGTCTGACGTGGCCAGTCATCTTATACCAGGGGTGTATCTAGGAATTTTAGAAGGGGGTGACAATTACAAAGATTGTCATTTATTGACRTTCCATTTTGTATTTTTCTTTGTATTAATGATATAGGAAGTATATCTTGAGGAGTTATTTTATCCTGGAAGGTTTTCCAATCAAGTCATCATAAAAGCTCTTCAGGTACTTTAAGAGCAGCATTGTTCTTAGAACTGAATCATATATATAAATAATAACAAGTTATAAAACACCAAAAAATGCCATTTCCATACGTTACTGCCGTGCGATTTGGTATTTATTCAAAAAGATTCATATGAAGATTCATAAGAAATTTTTGGGGCTTTCATACGTGACTTTAACTTGTGGGCGGGGTTTCATCGGGGGTGGTGCTTAACATGGTAGGCCCTTCATCATTGTTCTCGAGGGTTTTTTATAGAGTACTATATTAATTTTTTCTATTTTGTATGGTTTCATCAGTACCTTTTAGTACTATATAATTAGTGATGTTTCATGGATAATAGTGTTTGCTCTCTAATATAGAGTACAGTGTACATTAGAATAATGAGAAGTTAAGAAAATGTTTTAGCAATTGTTGTTTAGTATTAATATTATTCCATTATACTTGCAGATATATCAGCATGGTTCGAATCTGGGCCACAATATGTCAGCATTACTCAGCGACAGAAATGAATTAAAGAAAAGGGTCATCAACTTGATTGATACAGAGGTAACTCTTGCAATCCTGGGGTACTTGTGGAGGGGGGGGGGGGTGAATTGGTCTCCATAATAAATTGGAAGATAATATTGGGAAGAATAGGGTGGGTGCAATTGAAAACAATAGGGAAGTGAAATTTCCTTGTTTATTCTATCTTTTCACAATAATGAAATAAAAGTAGTTCAACATCACTACTAGGAAGGTGTGCATTTATGCACATGTCAGCATCTCACAATAGAACATGCACAATAAAAAATTAAATTATTATTAATATTATTATTATTATTTGTGGATGATTTCTGGAACRTTGTAAAACTGGAAGGATTTTTTGATAATTGGTTCATTTGTCAAGCCAGAGGTATACTTGAGCTAATGATACCTAATTGTGGCCGGCCAAATGTACAGCCAAGGCAAATCATTTACCAGTGATGTGGTCATTTGTACTGGACATTTTTGTCCAATGACCAGCACTCATTTGCAATTTTCATTGACTCAATTGGGTTCAAGGGTTCAAGCCCAGAACAGACCAACAATCGGGTTTTGAAATATCCACGTAAAAGGTGCTGTCTTTGCTCTAAATATATCTGCAGATGGAAAGAAAATGATAATGATCACTCAAAATAATATGGACAAACCTAATTTAGAGATGTTAAATGAGGGCCATAATTTTTTATATATCTATTATTATTATTATTATTTTATTACTAGATCCAGCTGTCTGCTCCAAGCAATGAATTAATGTACAGTGAATATTATGACTTACAACTCAGTTGCTGGGAGAAGTTCTACAGTTGTGTTGTTCAGTATCATGAGGTAAAGCACTGACAATGTCTAGATAGGCAACTAAGGATCTACAGCTATCTATGTCAAAGGCTACTAGTTTGCATACTATACTACTATTGCTTGATGTTTGTTCCTGGGCCTGGTTGTATGAAGGGTTGATAAAGCTATCCATGGATAAATCTTATCCAGTGGATAAATTTATTGGATAACAGCAGTGATTTATCCAAATGGATAATGATTTATTTGTTAAATAGGGCTATCCACCTTTTGTACAAACGGGCCCTGTAGGCTGGTGTGATAACCCCTTATTGTATAGTAAGGTGTGTGTAGGGTGTATGTAAGGTGTATGTAAGTGGTTTGCAAAGTGTTGGTAATTGAGTGTTTGGCTTATTACTTACCAACACCTTACTATACAGGGAGGGCTGATCACAATAGCCTTAGGGTTAATCTGCAGGGGAGGGGGGTAGGACAAAGAAATGAGGAGCAATATTGCAACATACTGTATTTATTGGTTCAAAGTCTAGCTTTACGCAAATCCCTGAATACTGTATGATTTTTGAAGTGACAGCTTGTTTGTTTTCACTTTGTATGTTTTTTTAATGTGTTGCATCTTTGACAGGTTGGTCATCAACCACTTGGACTCTTTATTGACACAAAGACTGGAATAGTTGGACTGGTCAGAAAGGTACGTACATGTGAAATATGCTCTTGATCAGGGGTATTTTTAAAATGTGTTTCACTTAATAAATATCCTTATTCTCTTAGGAAATGCTTTCAATACTCAGACCTTGTGATGGGGTAGAAAASTTGTATTCACAGACGATGGATCAAGAAAACTTTACTGCCATGCCATTTTTGATTACAGGTTAGTAAGAAATCAACACAGTATTTAAGATGCCAAGGGGCAACTGTAATGGACTAGCATTCCATCCGGGGGGGGGGGGGGAGTATAGTTTACCTATGGAGACCAGAAGTGAGTGGGGCATACAATGACCAAATTTTGTTGGGTGACTCCTATAGTTAAAGACAGAGACTGTCTTCCTTTTATCAGAGAGGGACAGGTGGTGGGATTCACTTTGGATTCACAAGAATTCTGACCTCTCCATGCGTTGATGTCCCTAAGAAAATTGCCCTCCCATGTTTCACTAGTCTCCCCCACAGCCGCTTTCAGTGTCGTCACGCAACGCTTTCTCCCCTGAATAGCGGCTGCTTACCCGAGCACAACATTCCTTTCCTATGAATTAACCAATCACGGCTTAGTTCTCGAAAACCAGGAACCATTCGCGCCATATGGAAAACAAGATGCGTCATTAGAGAAAGGCTTTGAGATAGCAGCTAAGAAATTTCGCATCAAACAGTTTAATGATCACCAGAAAGACGCTATACGGAAGATTTTACAAGAAAGACAAGATTTCTTTGAAAATCTGCCTACTGGATATGGGAAATCGTTCAAAAGAATAAAATATTGGTGCTCTAGAGCATAGCCCAGTAATTTCTTTCGATACAAGCTAGAGGAATTTTTGAATAACAGGAGTTCGAAGTTCTTGACATTTCATATAAACTGCTAACGATTCGTGTTCACTTTGCACAACTTTTCTAACAGTGTGAACAAAACAAAACAACTTTTCTAACAGTATCAAATTGAGCTAATCCTCTCAGTATACGCGAAGTAAATACCAGAACTGTGAGCGTTACCCAGAAGTTTACAATGAATACCCGTGGAAGTCAACGGTGTGACAGTGTCAGATTWAAAAGTTATCTAGCCTTTTTGCGATTACACTGCATTCGTTGTTTAAAATAAGTGATCTGCGCGGCTCATCTTCTTCGTTTATTAAAAATACTGTCAGACTTTATGTTTGAATTCAATCTCTTAAATCTTGAGTCGTCTCGTTTAACTTCCATTAGTCTAAATTATGCTTTTTAAAAAAGTTTTTTTTGGTATGAGCTCGTTAGCAAGTACAAACTCGAATTCACTATCGGCCGATAAAACAATGTCGATAGCTAAACTTATAGAGATATAAATCTTTTCTTTCATTTATGAACAAAGAAAACACTTAGTTCCATCTCCAATAATTTTTTGGGGGGGGGGGGGGTAGGCAATTAACAAGAACGAATTCAATTTTAATTTCCCAAAGATTTTCTCCAACTTCCACTCAAATGCTTCTTAGAATTATTTCTCTCGCGAATGTTTACAAGTTGTCAAATTCGAAACGTTTTGATTGGTTCTTGAAGCACAATGACACTTATCTGATTGGTTGAACATAAACAATAGGAAAGGAATGTTGTGCTCTGGTAAGCAGCCGCTAGTCAGGGGAGAAAGCGTTGCGTGACGACACTGAAAGCGGCTGTGGGGGAGACTAATGTTTCACATACATGTACTCATTACTGTTTATTGTAAAAGTGTTGTGCTACACAGAATGTTTTGTGTGTCAACCCTCTCTTGACTTTTTAATGACCCCTCTCAAATCCCACCATCATCTCCAGGAAACCATTTCCACCACTGTTACTGATGACATATACCTTCTCGCTTAGATAAGGGCTAATTAGAACTTACTTGTATTGTCGTAATGTTTTCCCATTGCAGACCATGTGTCATTCTCTAGGGTATAATTTATTTGTTTTATGGTTGCATGTGAGAATTAAAACACACAAGTTACAACTCCGACAAAGAATCTTAAAGTCAAAAGAGAAAAACTTGGTCTGAAATGAGAAAATATTAAACCTATTATTTAAAGCAAATGCTACTGGTAACTATAATACTACTGGTATAATATTACTAGTAACTAGCTCGTGCCCTCTAAAACATGAAGAAGAAATAGCATATGGATAGAAATAATTTCACTTAATTTTCAATTTCAGATAAATCAATGAGGAAAGATCTAACGACTGTGTGCAACGCTCTGAGACTTGTCTCACAACAGGTATAAAGCTATGATGATATCTAAGAGCAGAAACAGTTACCTAATGCTTATTGTACTAGCCCTGAGGTTTACCTGTAGACATTGAAAGTTAGTTCAAACCCTTGCAACCTCATATACATTGTTTCTGGAGTCAAGGGTGCATGGTTAGGAGCATTGCACATCTGGGGTCATGAATTCTTTTCCTGGACTTAGTATTAGCCATCTGGAGTTGTAGAAATGTGTAAAATGTAAAATCTGTGATTATTGGCTATTTTGGGGGACGCTTCACCAGTTACTTGACATTATATGCATTAAGAAACAAAATGAATTTGAAAATTAACATGATAATGAAGTTTTCCTATGACTTTGCTATCAACAAGCAAAAAAGATGCCATWTAACTATTTAAGTATCCCCTAAAACAGCCCCATAGGCATAATGTAATGTATCATACAACTCCAGAATGGCTAACTGCATGTATTTAAGCAAAGTTCGTTTGGCTTCTCCTGTGATTTGAAATCTTCCTCCCCCAGGTTTTGGTTTTCTCCCAAATGCCTGTTCAAATTGCTAAAGATCATCCCAATTGTTTCAGGATCTTTAAAAGAACGTTGATGCTTGATTTAAAGTTTGTATCAAATGTTTTCTCAAACAAAGAGTTTCTGAAATCTTTCTCCCCCAGGTTTTGGTTTCTCCCAAATACCTGTTCAAATTGCTAAAGATCATCCCAATTGTTTCAGGATCTTTAAAAGAACGTTGATGCTTGATTTAAAGTTTGTATCAAATGTTTTCTCAAGCAAAGACTTCCTGAGTACCCTTCTCCATCAGGTTGTACAGATATAATATTTCTCTGATCCTAAAGCATTTTTGTTATAACAGTTGACTCAGGAGAACAAAGCTGCCATCCAAAATGACCTGACATACCAGTGTGATCCTAGCCTTACAGCAAAACAAATATCAGAGAGCTTGATAACAAATCCAGTGTAAGTCTGACAATAGTTTTTTAACTAGTTTTAGAACTAACCTCCAAAATGTCCAAATATAATAATAATAATAATAATAATAATAATAAGGAATAATTTATATAGCGTCGATATCCTTAAGTTCAAAGACGCTTTACAATATAAAAATGTGACTCAAAAAATAAAATTAAGAAAAKAAWTTTAAGAAAAGAATTACTATTTCATGAATAAGAGTGAGTAATAAAACATGCCCATAATACATATCATTATCAACATATTTCAATTAAAATTCATTGCATGTCAATATATACATTACACATTTTTTTAAAATTCAAATAACAATGAATTGATTTAGATTGGTTAAAATAGGTAAGATTTTTACATATTGAAAACTCGTGTGAATAAAAAGGTCTTGAGACCACACTTAAAACTGGAAATTGTTTCACAAGATCGAAGGGATGGAGGTAGGCTGTTCCATAACTCAGGAGCAGCAACTGCAAAAGCTCTCTTCCCATATTTCTTTAGCCTGAAAGGGCCTTTGGTTAAGAGGTTCGCTGATGAAGATCTGAGAGAGCGGGAAGGCATATATGCCTTAAGTAGTTAAAACTTAAACTCAGTAGATATCTAAAGTTTATCATATTCCATTGTCTTTACATTTCATATTGTGTTATGTGTTATTTGTGTATCTTACTTAGCTTCTGATTATGTTAATGACACATCTCTATTCTTGCAGTGATGATACTGAGAATTCAGCTCAACATACATTTCATTCTGAGTTCACACAAGAGATAGAAACAAGGTAATGATCAGGACAGTATTGTCTTTTCCTCTTTCCTTCTATCTAGAATTGTCTGGTTTTTCATCTGTTTGTCTTTCTGTCTGTCTGTCTGTCTGTCCATCCACCCATCCAGTGTCCACTCATTTGTCTGTCCATCCATCTGCTATTGATTCTGTTCATTCAACTATTCCTACTTCTGTACATCATTTGTTTGGCTCTCTGGCTCGCTCCATCGATCCTACCATCCTTCCCTCCTGATGTTCTCATTCATCTCTTTAAGTGTATGTTTGCTACCCATTCCTCTGCCCATCCATCCATCAATCCATCTTCTATCTTTCTTCCCATGTTTTCTGTCTATCAATCCATCTAACATATATAATATCAATATTACTACAGTTCTATTTATTTTTCTATTTAGCCTTCAGAAAGTGTCCAACCTATGTGAATGTTTTAAAGTAGTACTAAGATCTCTAGATCTGTCTGGAATCCCTTTAGATGATAATGAAGATCCTGGTAAGGCATGAAAAAATTCAATAGAAAAATGAAAATACAATGATCTCTTGACAGTCACAGCTAAGTGAACATGTCCCTTTGTTACAACTTTCAATACCTTACAATTTTATTGACCCTCAAATTAAAATGATCATATAAATGATTCCCCATTTTACGAAGAACATTCCATCACAATAAAAATAATATAACTTCTTTGAAATATATTGAGTTTATTATTAGAATCTGATATTAGAAAACGTTTTTCTCCAGCGATAGCTTGCTTTATAACCTGCTTAGGCCTAGGGCAAACGTTGAACTTTCCATGCACCGAACTCATTAAAAACAATGGATATCAGGTGAT